GTAGAGTGCGGTTCACGTGCGGAGTGGGGCTGTTATTCCGGGGGGGGGGATGGGAGGGAGGCTGGGCTAATGAGCTTCCAGACTCTCATACTAAGGCCCCAGAACTGGAGGAGGAATTACATGATACATACATACGGGCACACATGTCCACAGATGCAGACACTGACACACATATACACCCTCAGGCACATTCACACACACACACACACGTTCACGAGTACAGATGCACACTCACAGTCCTTCACACTATCTCCCACACACTCGTTCCCACACACCCTCATGTGTACCCATATAGATATCGTGTGTGCAAACTCATTCATAAACACCCTTACATGCCCATATATACACCACGAAGTACACACGTTCTCACACATATACTACCACACGACCCGTCATACGCCCCCACAGATGCTGCCTCACACACATACATGCTCACACACACAAGCCCTCAAACACATCCTTGCACACGTGCAAGCTGTCATATGTACACACACACACACACACACACCATGTTCTTCCAATTCCATGGTCGTTCCCCAAGACCCACGCCCCTTCCCTTCCCAGCGGGACTGTGGTTAAATCTGAGCATATGCTCTGTCCATCCCCCCCCCCGCGCCCCCGTCCAGCCCAGCCCGGCCCAGCCCACAGCCTCACAGCCCCGCCTCCAGGCCTCCGCAGTTGGTGGGGGGCACCTCCATTGCCCAGAAACTGCTCAGTGCTTTCATCCTCCTGAACCCTTGGTGATGTCTCTGCTTTTGTCCCCTGCCCTTAGCATTCGATGGCCCCACCATGAACTTGGAGCTCCATGAGTATAGGGGTCCCTTCTGTTTCACCCACAATGCATCCTCTGTGCCCGGCACATAATTCACGTCCAAGAAATACTTGTTGAATGGATGGACGGATGGACGGGTGGACGGATGGATGTGTGAGACCTGCAGGAGGAGAGGGTCTGGGCTTTGGAGCCGAGGTGCGGGGGTTGGGGGGTGGGAGGCCCGCCCACTCCCGCTCTCAGCTAAGCCCCAGGCCCTTCCCCAGCCGACTCTGCCCAACCCACGCATCCCGAGTTTCCTCCTCCTGCAGGACCCACAGGACGGGCCACATTCGGGACCCGCCAGTGGCAGCCATCTCGGGCTCACCTCCTGGAGCCGTCCGCCTCTGGAGGTCGCAGGAGAGGACCCGGCTCACTCGGGAACACGGGCGCCTGAGAGCCCGGGCCAGCCTCCACACGCGGCACTGCCGTCTGCGTCGTCCCAGCCGTCACCGCGTGCCGGCAGCCAGGCTCCAGGACTTGCGCACAAATCCTCCCACCCCTCTAGGCCGGGGACCCAAGGAACACCTACGCCCCAGAACCGAGTGGACAGAGGCTCTGGGAGAGAAGTCACTGGCTGGAGGTCCATAGACAGCAAGCGGTAGAGATAAGGTTTGAACCCAGGACCCAAACTCTTCAACTCCTTGCCTCCTGACTTCCCTTATCGGGCCTGGCACTCCCTCCTCGGCTCCCTCTGCCCCGTGCTCCTCCACTGGGGCCATTCACCCTCTATGTGATCCTCACCTGCCCACCATCCAGCCCCCCGGCTGGACCGGGAACTACTCAGGGGCGGTTCTGGCCCCTTGCCCGGGTGGCCTCTGCCAAGCCAACATGCCCATTCACCAGCTGCTGACCTATTTTTTTTCCTGGAGAATTGCCTTACGTAAGGATATTGGCTCGCTGGGAGAATTACGACACCCCTCACCCCGTTTGGGGACAGCCTGAGTTGGTGACTGGCTGACATAAAAATACCAAAGGCTTGCCCCTCACGGCAGGTGGAATCAACTCTGTCACATGGCTCGGGCTCCAGAAGTCCTTTGCATAGTTAGGCCACGGCATCTCCAGTCGGGACCCCAGCCCTGCTAAGCCCCTTCTAGAAAGCACCTCTTCTAGAAAGTGCCCCTTCCAGAAAGCACCCCTTCTAGAAAGTGCCCCTTCCAGAAAGCACCTCTTCTAGAAAGTGCCCCTTCCAGAAAGCGCCCCTTCCAGAAAGCACTCCTTCTAGACACCACATGCACAGAGTGTCACGTGTCAGGCTCTGCTTCCAGAGAGCCTGGACTCACCCGTTCGCTGTGGTGACCCTGACCGAGCGGCGTGTGAGGAGCTCCACATGCATTGACTGATGAACGAGCCACATCTCCTACCTTCCCTCCACGCCTCTGCTCCTCCACTCCCCTGGGCCTCCTGGGTCAGGCCGTGCAGAGAACCAGTTCTCGGCCAAGGGGAGGAGCGTGGTTTCCCATCATCACCACAGCATCCCTAGTGCCTAGACCAACGCCTGACACGGAGCTGGAGCTTAGTGAGTATGTGTTGAATGAATGAATGAGTGAGTGAGTGAGTGAGTGAGTGACTGCCTCGTCCTCCCCCTACTCAGATGTCTGTCCTTCTCAATTCCCATCCAGTTCCCCTCCAAACCTTCAAGGCCACTTCAGCCATCACCTGCCAGGGCTTCTCCCCTGCCCTGGGCACCCTGGCTGGCATTGACCTCACACCCGAGTTCTTTGCCGGCTGCCCGCACACCCCCGGGCTTCACCGAAGGACCTCAGCGGCCCGCAAGGGCAGGGGAGCAGAAGGAGGCCGGGCCGTTTGAGAGCCCCACCCTAGTGCCACCCACAACCTTTGATCTAGTCCCATGAGGTCTGTTTGAACAGGAGTGCTCCGTGGCCAGGAAGACTACACAGCCCTCTGCCATCTTGCATTTTTTATCCATCCACCTACCCCACGGACACAGAGTGTGATCTCCCTGAAGCTGCCCCGTCCAGGATTTGTGTCCCCATTTAATTGGGAACTCCTGGAAAGTTTTAGCCTAAGGGTTAAAAGCATGGGCTTTGGCGTCAGAAAGGCCTAGGCCACGTTATTAGCCCTGCTCAGCCTCAGTTTCTGCAGCTGATCTAGGGACCAGTAACGGGGGTCCCTCTGAGAGCTGGGCAAGAATTCCGTGACATGCTCAGCACAGTGCCTGGCTCGTGGTAAGTGACAAACCACACCTTCTAGTATGCATTAATTGCCCGAGCAAGTGCTTTGGGCTTCCATGATAATCACTCCAAGTTGTCGTACTGTCCCTTGTAACAGGAAGTTAAACCATGGGGGTGTGTGAGGCCCATCCCGTCCCGGTGTGGATATTTCCCGGGGACCTGAGGGGGTGCAGTGTGGTCGGGGCCCCTGGCTCAAGAGGAAGCCACTCCCTCCAGGCGTTCAGGCAGCTGCGTGGCTTAACAGGGCCCTGGTCTCTTGCTGCAAAGGGACCCGGGAAGGGACCCCAGTGCCCCTGTGCTTCTTTAAGCACCTGGCTTTCTTCCAGATCCAGACCCAGTGAGTACAGACAGCAGGGAAAGTTGGTTCTCAGGTTCGCCGGTGTGTCTGCAGCCCACACAGAGCTGGGTGCACAGCGGATACTGGGTGCGTGTTGCCGGGTGGAGGAAGGCATAAGGGAATGAATGGATTTGAGATCCACCACGAAACCAACCATAGGTGTCTCTCCACCAATGCTTTTGAGTGTATGGAGGAATTCTAGGTTCACTGTCATATTCCCAGTTCAGAGCCCGAGCTTTCGCCCGGAGAAGGCCCAGGATGAATATTTATGGCGGAAACGAGCTACACGCACTATTTCCCAGAAAGCAGCTGAGCTTCGGCGGTGGTCTCCCGCCACCTTCCACTTGCCCCAGACTCGGGCTCCAGGGTGAACACGGGTGCCAGGGACCAAACCCTCGAGTTCAGCCACTGGCCTGGCTCAGCCTTGGCCACGTGGGGATGATGGGGCCTGGGGAACAGAGCAAGGGTCCCCAGGGGGCACCACGGGGAGACCCTCTGGCTGGCCTGCCAGGGAGTTCCCGGGTGCTGCCCTCAGTGGGGGTAGACGCCTGCCCCCAGATGGACCATGCTCGGAAGAGCAGGCTGCAGCGATCCCGGGAGGCTGCCGAGGAGCCTCGTCGGCACGGTGCTGGCATCAGTACAGCCACACACACAGATGGAGACACGTGCCCGTGCCCTCCTGGACGCTGGCTCCCTGCCCACGTGGCCCATCCCTCCTCACCACTCAGCACGTTGGAGCCACGTGCTGAGGGGGCCGCCCAGCTGATCCTGCTTGCCTCCCCCGTGCACCCCAGGTGGCACGAATCCAGAGACATGCACCCGGCACTGCTCCACGGCTCCACATCCCCAGGCCCCGCCAGCCCCTCCCCAACACGCCTTGCCTCTGCCTGAGCAGACAGTGGCCACAGACCACCTCGCGGCGCCACCAAGAGATAACAACACCCTCTGTCACAAGGGACCCCTTCCCAGGGTCATGCAACCCCTGTTAGGCAGGAGCTGAGGCTCAGCATTCCTTCCCAGTGCACGCCCAGAGACGAGTCGCCTCGCTGCTTGAAAGTGCCGGCGCCGTCCCTCTCTCTGACCCCCAACCCCGACTCTGTGCCGCGGGCGGGCAGCTGCCCCCTCCTTTGCCACTGCCAGGACCGACGTGTCACTGGGAGCCGGGAGATGGCTCACACCCCGCAGGGCTGCCCTTCAGTGCAGCAGCCTCTTCCCAGCTGTCTCCTGCAGGGGTCTCGTGCCAGCCCACCAAAAGGGCCAACCCGAGCACGAGCTGGCAGGTTGGAGGATGCGGCCCTAGGTGCTTGGGGACAGGCCGGTGCACAGAACCAGCTGCCCCCGGGGACGACGAGCAGACGGTCGAGACCTTACAGCCCCTATCTGGGCCGGCCGGTCCTTCCTTTGCCCGTCAGGTCCCCTTTAGCCACGGCAGGGGGTGGCCCCCGCAGCTGTAGGGTCCTGGGAGGAGGACACTGGACTGGCCTTAGGTCCCCTTGGGTTCCCTTCGAGTAAGGCCGGGGTGAAGGGGGTCAGAGATGCTGGGAGGCCCCATGACGCCCCCAGGAGAGCACACCACATGATAGGCCCCCTCCCCACGATGCCCAAGCCGGCACACCCGGCCCCACTGTCTGGGGAGCCGAGCCCCCGCCCGGGTACTCACTGGCTGCGCCGAGGCCTCCCCCTGGCGTGGCGGCCGCTGCCCCTCTCAGGCAGTGCTCCCCATCTGGAGAGGCCGGCGGCGGCACTAATCAGCCGCCCTGCGTGGTGCGCCGCGTGGCTGGGGTTTAATTGACACCAGGTGGCCCCTCCCCAGGGGCAGGCAGGGAGGAGGCTCTGCTGGGCTGGGAGGCGAAGCCCGGGGCGCACCCAGGCCTGGCCGGTTCAGGCCTCCTCGGGGGAGGTGAGGGCGGCCGGGCGCCTGCCGGCCACCCCCCTCTGCCCCTCCCGCCGCCACCTCCGTGGCACACCCAGCCCCACTTTCCCGGGCTCTGACCTTTCTTTCATTTCAGAGGCGGCAGTGGCGGCGGCAGCGTCTACCCAGGAGGAGAGCGGCTCAGGTTTCCCCACCACCCCAGCTGGTCGGTCGGGGCAGCCGGGAGGGCCAGCGCCAGCTCTGCGGAGGCCCAGCTGGACCTTCAGGGTCCCGAGGAGGGTCACCCCCTGCGGTCCCAAAGGAGCCTCCCAACCATCTTTTCTCGAACACGTACTATAAGCTGGGCCCGCACGACGCCCACGCTGTCTCCCTTGAACCTCTCCGGCCCCCGGGAGGTGGGGATGTAGGAACCCCAGTGTGCCGGCTGTTCCGGGCGCACAGGCGGCCGAGTGGCTAAATAGGGCCCTTGTCTCCTGCTGCAAAGGACCCAGAGAAGGGACCCCTGTGCTTTGTAGGCCATCGCTTTTTAGATAAGGAGACCGAGGCTCAGAGAGAGGAGAAGCTGGTTCTGAAGGCCACACAGCAGAGGGGGGAATGTGAACCTGCCACCGGGGGTGTCGGGCCTCGCTGCCAGGAAAACCAAAGTGCACCGCCGAACTGACGAACCGCCTTCTCTCCCGACTCATGCGTGTCCCTGCTCACATTAGGGCTCCATGTGTGGGTCATAGCTGGGGGTTAGGGAAAAATACATGAAAAAATTGGACCTGGAGTCTGAAGATCTATGCTGAATTTGCTGTGTGACCCTGAGCAAGTTACTCTACCTCTCTGTGCTTTGCTGCGGTGAACACCCAAGGGAACGCCGAGTTGAAAGGGCTGTGTTTCTGAGACTGACCAGGCAGGACTGAGGAGGGCCAGTGTGGTCCTTGTTCTGCCTCAGTAGCCCTTCTGAGAGGTCCCCCCTCCAGCCCTCTCCTCTCACTGCTGGAGTTAGCAGGACCCAGCAATGAAGGGCACACGCAGGCTCTGCGGTCACAGACCCGGGTTCGAATCCTGCCTCTGTGCCTCACCCACTCCATGACCCTCATTCAGAGGTCACTTCGCTTCTCCAGGTCTCAATGTTTCATCTCCAAAATCTGCTAAAGACCACTGCCTCCTCCCTGGGCTATGTGAGGATAAATAAGAAATGGGCCAGCGTCTGCGTGTTTACTCCGCATTTACTGAGCACCTACTATGTGTGGGCTACCAAGCCGGGGTGTAATGCTAGACAAAATCATCAGTCACTAAATGAACAGTCAATAAATGAACACACACACACACACACACAAATGTCACTCCTTAGAGTAACCCCTCGTCAAATAGAAATAACTATTGTTGTTTCTGTACTTATTCAACAAAAGAACGTGTTGAGCACCTACTATGTGCCTGAGACTGTTACAGGCTCTGGGCATATAGCAGTGAACAGTGCGGTCAGGTCCCTGGGCTCAAGAAACTAGCATATTATAATAACTCACCACAACAATATGTAGCAATGACTATTTTATTACCATCGGCAGGCGGGACAGGTGCCCACACAGCCTGCCTGCTGGGTCTGCCCCCCGAATGCTGCAAGGTAGAATGTGGGATTCCAGAATGTTCTTAGGTCAAATCCTCCGTGAGGCTCGAGGTCTGATGTACGGGCAGCCTGGCAGGCAGCGTGCCCCCTGGCGCAGACCTGGGCCCCACGTGGGCCGGGAGAAGCCGAGCCCGTGACTCAGCCGGCCAGGCTGCCAAGCCCAGAAGGGAGCAGGCGGCTGGCTGGGCTGTCAGCCATGGGGCCTCCGCAGCCAGGCGTGGGCAGGTGACGCGGGCAGAGCCTGGGGCTTCAGGGTGACAAGGGAAGGGCTCTGAGGTCAGGTGACGGCACCCTGGCTCCTGGTGGCGAGTGAATGTCACCAGTGAGGAGGACGCTTTTGTAAGAAGCCGTGAGAAATTGCCATATGGGGTGGGCTGCCCCGTGGGGTGAGGGGCTGGGCATCGGCAGGGGAAATGGTGGGGTCCGGCGGCATGACAGCAGCGGCCTGAGCACCCACCCGGGCTTGCCCACCCAGATGCACGACCCCGGGCCCCGGTCTCCTCATCTGCGCAGTGGGCGCAATGGCGGTTTCACAGACGCGGCACTCACTGTCCGTCCTGATGGACATGTGGACACCAGGGCACGGTCTCTACCCACAGTGGCCAGCACTCGGTCTGACAGAGAAACTGAGTTTCAAATTGCATGAACCGGACCCAAGAATATATCGAAGTTTTTCCCGTGGCCGAGAGCAGCATTTCTCAAAGAGTTGCACGAAACCCAAATCCCCCAAGACACGCCAACAAAGGGGCCAAACAGCTGGGAAAACTGCCCCCCGCCAGCTGCCCCCCAACCCCGGGAGAGTCTGTGAGATACACAAGCATAGTAAACACTCGGGTAAGTCCTGTAGCAAAACCCACACACGCACACGCACACTCACACCCCGTGGTTTCACCGGGGGCCCTCCACTTTCTGGCTGCGCATGCTCGCCTGCCATGAACATATTTCAGGAAAACTCGGCCGCCGGCTCCAAGCGCCGTTCTCGGGGCCTGAGAACCTGTTTACCCTTATTTGGCTTGTTAGCGGCTGAGTTGTTGTTTCACACGTTGGTAAACCCCAGGAGAGCTTCCCGAGTTATAAATGGTGCCGGGGAAACAATGGCCTGATCGTCACGGGCGGTGGCCATTCGGAGCCCCTGGAAGGGCAGGGACTGGCGTGGCTGCGGTCTGATAAAGCTGGGGTGCCGGCTAGGCCACCTGCAGCCCCGGACCCAGCACCCCACCCCCAGGAGCAGTGATCCTGGCTGGGTCAGACCGACGGCAGTTGTAGGGACCCAGCCCCGACCAGAAGGAAGGGGTGGGGTGAGGGAGTGGGGCGAGTGAGGGTGGGGGTCAGGGTGAGGGTGGGAATGTGAGTATTTTGGAAGTGGGCAAGTGCAGGGGGGTGTGGGTGCGTGCACACGTGAGCATGCAGAGGTCAGGGCCTGGAAGGTGGGGTTCGGGGTGCACTTGAGGGTGGGGCCACCTCTGGGACCCGTAGGCCTGTGAGAAGAGGATCTGAGCCACGGGCCAGAACTCCCCCTTTGCCCAACCCCGCTCGTACCTGGAGCTCCAGCCACTTGCACGAGCCATACCAGCTCCGGCTGCTCCAGCTCCAGCACGGCCTGCCTGGGCCTCCCGGAGCCCCTTTGAGGATGTAGGAAGGGCCCGGAGCGGCAGCTTTGACCCAGGGCCCGTTTCAGAAGGAGAAACTCACCTGAAGGCAGCGTGGGGTCCCTCCCCGTGTCTGATCCCTTCCCAGCAGCGGACTGGCAATGCCCGGACCCCCACCGCCTGTCAGGCCGAGCCCCTAAACCTTATTCTGGCATCCAAGGCTCTCAACGAATGCCCCCCGTTCCAGTCCTGCCTCTGTTTCCCGGACGCCCCAGTGTAAAGCACGCAAGGAGGGCTTACCCCGCGCTGAGCACTTTCAGTATTCCGTGTCTTGCCGTTGAGTGCTCATCGCCGTCTCAGGAAACAGGTGCTCTTACCGCTGACTTTACAGACGAGCAGGTGAAGCCTCCAAGACACACAGTGACTTACCCGAGGTCACACAGCTGCTCCATGGTTGCGGCTAAGACTCAGAACCAGGCCCGTGGGTTGCCCGCCTGCCCATGCGCGTACAGGGTTCTCCCGGCTGGGGCAGGAGGGCATGGGGGTGGCAGACCCCCTGAGGTCAGCGTCTCGAGTTTGTCGCCCTCACGGCGAGGCTGAGCCCATGATGGGAGAACCAGCTGCCGACGGCAGTGGCGCCCTTTCCAGCTGCGCAACCTGGAGCGCGAATCACCTCTGCGAGCCTCAGCCTCTGCAGCTTCGGAGTGGGGACAGTCACTCCCCGCTCTGGGGCTGTGATGCAAGCAAGACGGGGCATAAGGGGACGACTGTTAACTGGTGGCATCGCTGGCACTCTGCCCGCCCCGTAGGTGTGCAGTGATTATTACCTGAGGTCAAGTCTGTCCCTTGGAAACTCCCATGATCTCTCTCGCCTCGTTTGCACACTGAAAGCGGATGAATCGCTTTCTTCTTCCAGGGAAGCTTTGCTAACTGCTCGCTCTGCAAACATGGCCAGCACCCCCCCTCCCTGCCCCGTACTTAGCCACTTCTGCAGCAGGGTTCCTCCGCCTCGGCCCTGCTGACGTTTGGGCCGACAGTTGTTGTGCGGGTCTGTCCTGGGCGTTGCGGGGTGTTGAGCAGCATCCCTGGCCTCTAGCTATTTGATGCTGACAGAATCCTCTGGGGAGACACTGCCAGATGTCCCCAGGGCGGGGCCGGGCTGGGGGCCGGGGGGCGGGGTGGACATCATCCCTGGGTTGAGAACTTTGGATGCATTCGCTTGAACTCACTGCAACCTGTCTTCACTGGGGCCGTGTAGAGTAGCAGGTTCTGATGGTCTGGGCTGGGACCCTGGCTCCCCACTCCCCGCTGTGTAACTCTGGGCACGTCACTTACTCTTTCTGAGCCTCGGCGGCTCCATGCGTACAGCAGGGTATTTGCTCCCGCAGGGCTATCGTGGGGGTTAAACGAAAGGGCAAATGTAATAATGTGCTGACGGGAGGTGGGGGACACCCGAGGGCAGGCTCTGGAGGGTCTCAGTCCGACGAAGAGGAAGCCAGGGGCCAGACGGGCCTGAGAGGCCACGTCCCCGCCGCCGCCCCAGCAGCCGGGCGGCCTCGTCCACACCCCGTTTCGGGCTGCCGGGCACTCTCCCTGCAGGCTGTGCGTGGGGGTTAATGAGCTGTTCAGTTCCTGCGACTTGCAAAGCCTCCCCCCTCCCTCCCTGCACTCAACACCTGCTGTGCCTGATTGATGGGGGCCCCGGGGCCACCAAGGACCACGAGCCAGAACCGGGTCACTCACTTAGTTCCAGGCCCCAGGGAAGACTTTGTCCCCTTCTCTTCTGCTTGAAATACTAGAGACGGGGGTGGAGGATTCTGGTCCCGTCTCACGCCTCCTCCCCACATCAGCAGCCTCCCAGCTAAATGTCAGACCTGGG